CCAGTGAGCACAGCTACATCTGCCAACACACCCACGCCTTCAACCCACTCCAATAAGGCTGACGCAGCCACCCTTCAACCCAACCCCCAGCAACTGCTCGCGCGGAAACTGCACCTTTGACCAGTGCCATCTGTTGCTATTTGGGTTCAAGGATATCTTATTCGTGCTTACTAAATGCATTGTTCTCAGTGTGTCTCGGAAATAAGAAATAAAAGACCTTAAGACATTAAAAACAAACAAACTAACAAACAAAAAGCCTTATCTTTCTCCGAGGAGCTGGCTGGTGGCTTTGAAATGCTGACCTTTCGGATAGCAGCTCAACTTGTCACCACAACACCACCAGGACTCCTATAGGGAAAGGTCGGTGTTTGGAAAAAATAGCTTTAGTCATAGAAGCAAAGCCAGAGAGAGAACGCCGTAGGGTCAGTGGCCTATTAAGTGTAAGCATCTTCTTGCAACAACAGAGTGACAAGTGCACGTGTCCAAATGCAGTACGCAAAAAACAAGCTGACGACATCGGTGGGGAACGAAGATGCAGAAACTCAGTATCAGCTGCTAAAACTAGGCCAGGGGTCGACTGTGGACAACCTGTAATTGTTCACGTGCAAGTTTAGGTTGGCCTTCAGAAGACTGAAACAAGCCCACGAAGGCCCAAGCATAACCCTGAATGCAGCCCACCCTCTCAAGAACTCAGGTGACACAACGAGCACGAACAGACCGAAGGCCGAATACTTGTGGGCTGACACCAAGCAAAGGGCTCGCATTCCATGAAGAACGCAGAAGGTCGTTAAAAAGACAGGGAAGAAGAGACCAAAGCAGATGTCAGAAGCGATGCTGAACGTTGCTTTTGAGTAGCTGAAGCAAATGGAGGAAACGATGGCGTCTAAGAGATGATGAACAAGAAATCTGAAAAGGCAGCTTGAGAAGACAAAGTAAAATATTACGATGAAATGTGCAGAGGCCTGGAGTCAGACAACCAAAAGGAAGAACACGCTCAGCACAGCTCAGCCGGGAAGAACCGGTCAACTCCCGGCTCCAGCTGCAGTGCCGAAGGGTTTCAGGGGCAGAACCTGAATCCACACGAAGCATCAGAGAACATGAAATGACCACAGGGAGACATCTTTCTGACACTCTCTGCTTTTGAACCAAGAGCTCTCTGGACATCGGCCCGGATAGCCCCCGCCCCGTGCTTCCTTCGGAACCCAGCTTGGGCTTCTGGCAGTCCCGTCTGCGCTCCTGCACCCGTTTGCTTTTAATGACATGCGGCAGTTTACTTATAGGAGGTGACAATGACATGCTTCCACGTTTGCTGTATTCTTTCAGGGCACTTTTCTTTGGAATGAGCACAAATCTGAATCTCTCCGGGTAGCTGTCACCCAAATTTCTTGGCATCGACTAGTGGAGGTTGACGTGGCTGCTCAGGACTGCTCCACTACACCTACCAGCACCGTCTCCGTACAGAACAGAGGACTGCCCTGCAAGGGACACTTCTTTCTGTCAGGACAACCATAATTAGAAAGGCAGACGAGTTAGACTACAAATTGAACTTGATGTTTAAGAATTCAGTCATGATATTGTTGTTGTTGTTTCCCAACTGTGTTTGTTGACAGGTGTACAATTTAGAAGAGCAGTTATGGTAATGAGCTGTGCTATCCTAATCCAGGTGATTTTTCCATCACTGCTCATCCTCTAACTCCCTTTCCTTGATAAACTCTGGCTTTTCAAATGTGATGAAGAAAGCTGATGGTGCCTGGCTATCAAAAGATATAGTGTCTGGGGTCTTCAACGCTTGAAGAGAAACAAGCGGCCATCTAGCTGAGAAACAACAAAGCACACATGGAAGAAGCACACCAGCCTGTGTGATCACGAGATGTCGAAGGGATCAGGTATCAGGCATTAAAGACCCAGAACAAAAAATCATATCATTGTGAATGAGGAGGAGTGCACACTGGGGACCCAAAAGCCCATCTGTAGACAATTGGACATCCCCTTAGAGAAAGGTCACAAGGAAGAGACAAGCCAGTCAGGGTTCAGTGTAGCACCGATGAAACATATAATTTTCCTCTAGTTCTTTAATGCTTCCTTCCCCCACTATCATGACCCCAATTCTATCTTACAAATCCGGCTAGACTAGAGCATGTACACGGGTACAGATAAGAGCTAGAAACACAGGGAATCCAAGACAGATAAACCCCTCAGGACCGATATTGAATAGTGATGCCAGGAGATTGCGGGGAAGGTGGGGGGAGAATGGGGAAAATCGATCACAATGATCTACATACAACCCCCTCCCAGAAAAGTGGGTGAAGGGAGACATTGGTCAGTTTAAGACATGAAAAAATAATAATAACTTATAAGTTATCAAGGGTTCATGAGGGAGGGGAAAAATGAGGAGCTGATACCAAGGGCTCAAGTAGAAAGAAAATGTTTTGAGAATGATGATGGCAACAAATGTACAAAAGTGCTTGACATAATGAATGTACATATGGCTTGTGATAAGAGTTGGTTGTTTTTTTTAAAAAAAACCTCTGGCTTTTCTGCATTTGCCTGCTCTTTTCACACAAGATTGGGCCTTTTGCGACAAGTCTTACTGCACCCAGTAGCATACACCAAGACTTCACTCTCCTCCCGGCGGAGTGCCATGTTTGATCTGGTCAGGGACATTTAGGGTATTTCTACCTTTTTGGCTTTGAAAGATGGGGGGTATGAGTCTTTCTGAGTCTTCTCTGATTTCAGATATTTGAGGGATATACCCAGGAGTGGAATTGCTGGGCCATAGGGTAATTCTACTTTCAGATCTCTTTTGTGGAATCGCCATCCAGATTTTCCTTCCAGTAACTGAACACTTCGAACTGCCAAAAAGAATGGATAAAGGTTCCAATTTCCCTACATCCTCACCAACAGGTTTTTTAAAAATAATTTTAATCTTAGCCATTCATCTCCCGATGAATAACCTGCCGACCATCTTTTCATGTGTTTGATGCCACCTGAGTATCTCCTTTTGGAAAACGTCTATGCAAATCCTTTGCTCATTTTATAAATGAATTATCAGGATTTTAAAAAACTCATCTTATGGGGGGCTATTACAGCCCTTATACCAATCCATACATCAATTGTATCAAACACATTTGTCCATATGTTGTCATCATTCTTTTCAAAACATTTTCTTTCTACGTGAGCCCTTGGTATCAGCTCCTCATGTATGTATGTAGTTACTATATTCTTGTCAGGTGAAAGGTTTTCACAGATTTTCTCCCAGTTGATAGGTTGCCTTTTCACCTTTTTTGTAATGTTTTGATGAAAGATTTCAGTTATTTTGATACCCCGCCTAGTGATTGCCTTTTGCTCTGTGTGTACTTGTTACTAGACAACTTCGTTGTGAATACAAGGTCCAGCATCATTGGCTCTGAATTGTCTTGTTTCATGGTTGTTAAATTTGCCCATTTGGGTCCTTCGTGCAGCTTTAATGTGTCTTGTATACGATGTGAGTCATGGATCTGGTCTCATTTGTCTTCATGTGGAAATGCAGTTTCCCCACCACCATTTGATCATGAGACTCTTCTTTCTCCACTGGGCCAGTCTTGCAGTTAGCAGTCCAGCACTTATCCTGCAGTGCCACTGCGGCTCGTGTGATTATAGCTTTGTGCTCAGACGCGGTGCAGAAAAAGTGTTCCAGATATTGCAATAAAGCTAAAGATCAACTTTATCTCAGTCACCGCTAAAAACAATGTGTAAATTGTACTGGCTTCCAATTTTAAACTAATCTAAGTATAGAAGTAAATACCAAAATTCAAATGAACTTTGTGGAATGGAGAGTGGCACTAAAAGGGAAGAAAGCTGTGGCAGGGGCAGAAAATGCCGTTTTGTTTTTCTTAAATGGTATTAAACACTCCAGTTCGAATGACTCACCATGTCAATTGGAGCAAGGGCTCTGTTGTGAAAGCAAGAGAGGGGAATCTTGACCTGACTTGTATTTGCAAATAAAGTACTGCTCATGAAAACCTGCACTTAAGGCCTTTCCCCCCAAAGCTCAGCTTTCTAGGCATTGCCTCAGCAATCCTTACAAGCAGCACAGACGGAGAGAGGGAAACCGGGAGTACTGGCCTGGAATTGTGTTCCTTCCGAATATCCATCACTGTCATGTACTTCCAACTCCACTGTGGGATCTGATGGCAATGGCCTCTTTGTTATAAATCCCAACCTCTGATGAGGTTAATGAGGCAGGACCCAAAACGGTTATGTTAATGAGGCAAGGTTGTAAATTCAGTCATCTCTTTTGGGATCGAGAAGAGATTAAGCCATGGGGCAGAGGTCTAGGGACTTACTACCACTAAGAAAGAACCACTGCGGGGAGCAGAGTGCATCCCTCGCTGACAACTTTTTAGGCACGACAGGTGTGACGACACATGGAGACCGCGAGGAACGCAAGGCCCGGAGATGCTGAGAGGAGCCCAAGCTCTTCCCCTGGAGCCGGCACTGAGTCCGAACGTCTAACACCCTAAACTGGGAGAAGAAAGCGCTGTCTGTTGAAGACACCACTGGTAGTATTTCGGTCAAAGCAGCCCCGAAGAACCAAGGCCACTATGACATCGTCCACTTTGCAAATGAGGAAACGACACAAGGTCAAACAGTGAGTGGCGGCAGACCACAACTGGACAGCTTTTGACATCCCCTCGGATGCGGCCCACAGCGGGCTGCGTGTGGCAGAGTCTGTCGCGAAGACCAAAGTCTTTCCGGAGGTAGACAAGGGAGGAGGAGGAGGGTGGTTTGAGAGCAAGTTGACTTCCAGAAAACGTCCAACAACAGAAGAAAGGGGGGTGTCTTCTCCCAGAGTCGGCCCTCATCTCACACTCCTGGTCGATCATCTTCTGAGCCCACTGACTGCTCTTCCTCAGCTCGGGAACGGAGATGAGCCACAGACCCACGGTTTTCCAACACTGAGCTCCTCCCACCTGCCCAGCCGCTGGACTAGGGCCACCTGGGAGGGCTTGGTTACCTACCTTTGCTTCGTCGTTAATGTCCCAAGTGAAGGAAATGGCGTTGTACGCAATCTCTTCAATGCTACTGATGGTATTGAAGCTCTCTTTGTAGTCGGCTATGGGGAGGTGAGGAAAGAAAGACGTCTGTGACGGCTGGACACCACAGGAGATGGAGCAGTTCAGTGTCAACGTCCTTTCCTCGGTCACCTCTGGGTAACCCAGATGCACTTTTGGGGTTGGGGGCTGGGTGGGTGGGTGTGTGTGCTGAAATCAGTTCCAAAAAAATGAAAGAAAAATGACCAGATTTTTTATGACACAGGTAAGCTTAGAGATATCTGGTTCAACCCTATTCTATCAAAATTAGGAAATTTCATTCTAGAAGGTTAAATAATTGCCCCAAGGTCACAAAACCTAAGGTTAAAAACTCATTGATCCTCGTTCTTCTGGAAGAGAGCACGAGCGTGCTTAACACTACATTTAAGAGCCATCTGTGCTGCAGCTAAGGGCTCTCTGTAAAAAGCACACACACAGCAAGACCAGAGGTCTGTGCAGAACGACACTAAAACACATGGGTCTGCTGTCACCCCCCGACCCCCAACGATGGCTTTCTAGTTTATTTGCAGAGAGGAGACGCTGGCAACATCATCCCGTATGTCATCGGACGACTCCTAGAACACAGCGGCACCTTTCTCTGATTTGTTGATTTCCCAGTCCTCCCACCTTATATCCGTTTCCAAATAAGCAATGTCCCCTAAAGACACTGGAAACACCCCCCCCTCAGAGAAACCAGCGTCTGCGAAGAGGGGCCCCCTGTCAGCTGGCTGCAGAGCTTCCAGGCCAGGTGTCCCTGGAAACCCACTGCCCGGACACATGTCTCATGAAGGAAGTCATGGTGAGGCAGCACGGATTCCAGGAGGCCAAGAACACTGTTTGGAACAGATGAGTAGCTGACATAAAACCTCAAACGCTTTCGGCAGGAAGCGGAGCGCTGCCAAAAATAACTGGATTTAGAAAGCTGGAGCCCTGCACCTCTGGGGATAAAGGCAGGCTCCTTCCTGGGCTACTCACCGATGTCAATGCACCTTTGTTTGGCCGTGTGCTGCCGGGAGTGCCAGTATTTCCAGTGCCTCAGCTGGTCTTCTCTGCTTTTGTCCTCAGCAAACACCACCATGATCACACTCTGCATGTACAGACACCGACGGGTGAGTGCGTTTGGGACCTGACTTTGCTAACACTCAGAAACTGCCATTTTACCTTTCGTTTAGCTCTAGTGACGGCACAAAGCCACGCCGGCTGCTCCCCCGTGCGCACAGGACTTACCCGGACCTTGCTGATGGGGTGGTGGATCCCTTCATTGCTGCTCGCCTCCTTCAAGGTGATGGGGTAGAACTGGCCTTTGTTCAGGTACGTCATGGTGCTGTCACCGGGCTTCTGCCGAAGGGATTTGGAAGCTTCTAGGGTATATTCAAAGTTGTTCCTGTGGAACAGACACGTCCTAGAGCTCCCACCCACGTCTCAGGAGCTTCCTCTACGCTCCAGTTCAGCCCTAACGTGCTTCCAGGTGGATGTATGAAGGCAGGAACCCCCCCAGGAAAATCCTCTTCCATCATAAATATAAGCTTAAACAAAAGCACTTGCAACCTATCCATCCTCACCCCTCACAGGTGTGGGCCTATGAAGTGCCTCCCAGAAATTCTACGATAGGGTGTTGGCAAGCACAACTTGGGAAGCTCAGGCTAGGAAATAAACTAGTAAGCAAAAAGGCCCCTGGAAGGGCACGCTCACAGGACACGCAACCAGCCTGGTATTTACCTGTAGCAGAGCTTACACAGCATGGCGGGCGGTCTTAATGATGACATTTAATTTGGCCAGGAGCAATCTTTTTGTTTTAAAATGTTTTGAGATGGGCGCTCTGCAATCCTCTCCATTTCTTACTATTTTACGCTGCCACCCCCAGGTGCCCCGCCACGAGCGGGAAGCTTTGCTGCACCAGTGGGCGGGTCTCGCCTCGCCTGCCCTTGTACGTGAGTCTCTGCAGATTGCAGCACACTCACACACCTATCACGACAGTGGCTTCTGCTCCAATAGCGGGCCTGAGTGCTTGCAAAAGGAACTCTCTGACCTTCGAAAGATCCTATCCCACCCTAGACCCTGAGGGCATTTGAAATAGTGACTCCTGTACTTGAGGCAGGTCTGTAAGGAATGTCTCAGCGCCCATAAAACCTCAGGCTTTAAAAAAACACGAGCCAGAAATACAACACACGTACAGAAATGCAGGAAGGGAAATCAGACGGTGGGATTCTAGGCCCGTTAGCAAAAATCTGAAAGTGCTACGCTGGTCACTAACTTGGAAAACACCCCAATTCCCAGAGAGGTAACTGTGTGAGGTTACAGAGCAGCAGCTGTCCCATCAAAATGAAGACTGACTTCATTTACCGCCTAGTGAGGCTAACAAAAAAAGTAGCAGTCTTTATTCCCAACTTCTCCCAGAGTCTCTAGAGGCTTTCTTACTGAGAATGTAATTTAATCCTCTCGTGGCTTCTTGCAGGTCTCCTTCTCCGCCCGTCCCATGAAGAGCCCCGGGGAAGGGAAAGCACCAACACCAAGCGGGAAGGGAATGAAGGAGAAGCAGAGGTCAGAGATCACGATGAAGCACGTGTCCGCTACCCAAGACCCTTCCATAGTCAATGCAGGCAAAGCGGACAGCCCGAGAAGGCCACTCTGATTGATCAGTGTCCAAGTAACAAAAAAGAGAGAAAGGCGCCAGAGAAGCTGAAATTTAAAAATCAAATTAAAAGACAACTATTACCCAGAAACACTGTCAAAAACATAGTCCTCTGAATTCATGCCAGGCATCCGCAGACTGAGATCCGAGGGGAAGAAAACCTGAAATATCAATGTCATGAGCCACAGCGATTGAACGGTTATCGTGGCCACTACAGGCCAAGGTCTGCTCTCACAGCAAACGGGTGTGGCTTACAGCAGCCCACTACCCTTTCCATATTAATTTTAAAATCAAAACATATAATCAACCAAAAAGCTACTCCAATTATTGAAGAGAATTGTAAAACTGAATCTTTTAAAGTGAACAAGAAAAAAAATTTCAAGGAAAAGACCCATTTTCATACTCCATTGACTCATGGTTAGTGTGGCTCCTGCAGAGTGCTTGTGATTCACCGTCACTCTCGTCTCATCTCCCGCACAACTGACCCTGCTCAGAATCTAAAATCTGCGACTGACACCTTCAGGCATTTAAGCGTCAGCCCGCTCTCACCTGTATGGAGTAAAGGTTCAGTATCATGGTCACATGGCTGAATGGGTGTGCTTTACAAGAGAGACTCCTATTCTAATTCTGATGCCCTTTCCCCCAAGTGAGTCATTAGATACGGTTTCACGCATTTTCAGTCTCTTTTACCCGAGGGAAATGCACACCATTGTAAAATCCTCCCAAGTATTTGGATTCGTTCATAAACTTCACAGAATGCACAATTTGTCTCTAAGGTCTACCTGCCTCTGTCTTTGCAGATGTACCTGACTACAGACTCTGACCTGAACTCACTGCCACCGAGGTGATGCCGACTCTTAAGGCATCACCTTAAGTAGAACTGCACTGTGGGTTTCCGGGCTGTGACTCCTCACGGAAGTAGAACGCCCGGTCTTTCTCCCGTCTCAGACGATAACTAAGACATGTCAATACATGACATGCTTTCGAACGTCCAGACCAATGGCAGGGACTTTGTTTGGGTCTAGGACAAAATTTACAAAACAGACGGTGCAAAATGTCTGTTGTCAATGAAAGCCTGAGTATGCAATGCGGTCTTTCTCTTCCTCCAGCAAATTGCTCAGCTGCAATCATCATCCTTAACTCAGCCCCCGGTAAGATTAGCCATGTGCCCTTGATAATAATTTCTGGTTTTATAAGGTTTAGTTTACAAATTACACCCATGGGCCTTTTCTCTTTAAAAAAAAAAAGGGAACCTTTTTTATTCCTAATCCGTTCACTTGGGGCTGAGTTTCACGCTTACGTAACAAGGAAGAGGTGGAACCCAACACTTAGACAAACACACAGGCGTCTGAGGAAGACGTTTGTTTGCGGTACCTCCTGCTCGCCTTCCTTGAAGGCCTCTGAGAAGGTGGAGTCTGGGGTGCGCCTTTGAGCATTTGGGGGCTGAGCTGCAGAGCTGAACTGGTCCGTGTTCAGGTTCCGGTCGAAAACGACCACCCGTTCGGCAGGCTCAGGGTGGTACACCACTGGGGGGGTCCCCACGGCAAAGCCGTGTGGCTGGCTTTCCGTCTTGATGGAGTGGGTAGGCATCGTTGCTATGGAGACCGTGACTGTGGTGTCAGGAGCGGTGAGATGGCCTCTCTTATCAATGCTCAGCTGGTTGCCATGGGGAAGGACGATGTTGAACGGCACATTTTTCAATACTTGCACGCGGTTTTCTCCGGCAGAAATGAGAGGCTGTTCGATCACAGCTGGCAGGCTATTTCTTTAAGAGAAGAAAAGAGAGCCGTGTTTACCACGGTGATGCCGACCGAGACACACAGCACGCGGGCAGCTCTACTGGGCTCCGTGCGGTAACAGCAGCACTTGGCAGACACAAAATACACAGAAAACACCATGACCGCCTGCTCTAGATGAAACAGCGCCAGCCCCAGGCTGTGAGCGCATTGACTCGCGGGGCCCCTCCAGGGCAGGGTGGAGCTGCCCCATGTGATGCCTGTGGGGCACCCTCCTGTGGGGCAGCTGCGGGCTTGAACCACCACCCTTGTGGTGCCACCTGGACCCCTTGGACAACCCATACTAGAAAAGACTTCAACGTTAGTGGGCATTGGTAACGTCTCCTCTGGAAGACTGGAGGCTCAGAGGACTCCGCTGCTACGCTTGATTCTGAATCATCCAGATTCCAGTTTGACTAGAAGCCCAAAGCTAATAACCTTCTTAGTCAGAGCGGCGTGGAACAGTGATCTGAGAACAGGCGCAGTTGTGTCACTGCCTCTGCACAGGTCACCTCATTCTCAATAGCCAAATCCGCACCTAGAAAACGTGGGCATCATTCCCCGCGCGCCCCGGGGAGGAACAACAGAAATGTGGGGGAAGGGAGACATTGGTCAGTGTAAGACATGAGATAATTTATACGTTATCAAGGGGTCATGAGGGTGGGGGGCTGGGGGGAAAGCAGGCGCTGATACCAAAGGCTCAAATAGAAAATAAATGTTTAGAAAATGATGATGGCAACATAAATACAAGTATGCTTGAAATGATGTATGGAATGTTATAAGAGCTATTAAGAGCCCCAATGAAATGAGTTTTAAAAAAAGAAAACACAGTATCGATGGTGTTTCTCCACAAGTTGCTATGAGGACTGAATGAGATGCTACCCTAAGATGCTGAAATACAGCTGGGCGTGCAGGGGTTCTAGGACAGCCCTTCTCCTTCGGCCACGTGTTCCTAGGACTTACGCGGGTTTGCCTTTCCCTTTTCACCAGTGGACACGTTGACATCAATTGTTTTGGTTTAATAAATATGGTGAGCATTCCAAAGTGAATTCTGGTGGATAAAACTAAAGAATATTTGAAGCGCCCTCAAATAATACAGACTGAAACTTCAAAGAAAAAGACAATCTGGTGATATTACACATTTCAAGATCGATAAATTGTCCAAAGCTGAGTCTATACATCCACTCTCAGAAATTTATCCCAAAGGAAAAGCCAGCACAGCCCTGCCCCACTACGACTCTGTAGCAGCGGCCGTCAAAGACAGCCGCCGTGCCCAACAGCAGCAAAGCTATCGAGGGTGCGCTTCAAACACCTGTCAGCAAAGATAAGTGCAACACAAACGAGTCCAAGCCTTGAGCAAGAGGGACAAAAAGGCAAGCAGAGGTCGTCAAGTTGGTCCCTGTTGGTGCTGGACATCTCGGGACTTGTGACCCTATTCTATTTGTGTTAACGCAGGGAGCCATCACAAAGAAAAGCCCTAAGCCCCTTCCCAACTCTGAAGATGAAAACAGCAGGTTAGAATATTTATGAAACCGCTAAGCAAAAGAAAGCATTCTGCCAAATCCTATCTGTGGACTGAACCACACACAATGTGTGTATGCATATAAAGTTCAAGTGATCCACCAGTCACCAGCAAAGTTAAGATTTTGAATAGTCATTCTTTCTCTAAAAAGTTTCTATTCCTTTTCTAAGTTTTATTCCCAAGTATTTCAAATCACTTCATTAGGAGTCTGGAATGCAATTAAATGTACTTCATTTCATTTCACTTAGGCAGATATTCTAGTGCTTGGTACTCTCTATATGTCTGCTAATACATTAATGTCTATATACAGATAGAGAATATATATATATATATATATATATATATATATATATATATATATAGAGAGAGAGAGAGAGAGAGAGAGAGAGAGAGAGAGAGAGAGAGAGACTGACTCTCACCTCTGCCTAAGCCACATGTCCCTTAAAAGGATCTTATAATCAAACAAGCAAACACTTCTTACTTCAAAAAATTGCTTTGAAGAAGAGCTAACGTGTTTGCTTTCCAGAGAAGGTGGAACTCGTACTGGACCACTCAAGTCACGAATCTGAATTTGGATGTTACAAGCCTGACTGACCTGTGTCCTCCATCCACCAGTGCTTATCCATTTACATGCATTCCCACTTTACCTCCGCAGAAACACGGACTGCTGCCTGCCACCGTACACGAAACCGTACCTTCTGCTGTGATCTGGCTCTGGGTGCTCAACGTCTGGCTTTGCTGTGGACGACCTCCTCTCTCTGGGGACCTTTCACATTAAAACACATAAAAATCATTGAATTCTTAGTCAGTGACAGTTCACCTCCCAAATCGTCTTTGTTTTACAGTAAATCTAGCCAGTCTGTTGTGCAGTAAACATCTGCTGACATGCCTAGGCTCTAGACATAACAGCGGGTAAGGCAGCGTCTGCTCTCAAGGGGCCTAGAACTTGCCCACCCGGCTGGAGTAGCTTCTGAGAATCCCAACCTGGCTACGTTTCCAAGCGTGGACTTCGTCTTCAGTACACACGTTACCTCCTTCAGGATGGGGGAGAAAGAAAGAATACAACAAGAGCCACCACCACCCCCTCACGTTGCGAAATGATGAAATCTTTTGTTCAGCTCCACCCTAACAGACAGATAACCCACCCATCTTCGTTGTTTTTTTTTTTCCCTTCTGCAATAGAGCCAGAATGTACAGGAATGATACCTCCCGTGGGTCTCAACATTTTCAAAATAAAGGGCTAGCAAAAGGAAACTATAAAACACATAGACAGACACACGCGCGCATAAGAAGATACTATCTTAAGGCAGTTTTGCCCAAATTTTCACTTTTTCTGTGACTCCTGAAACTCTATCTTTACAAAGGTAGTGGTGACAACGCTACAATCACACGTAATGGTTGCATGCCATACTGAGACCAAAGTCACACCGCAGTGGCTCAACTCAATCCACGGTGTTAAACTGCGTCCTAAGCTCTTCAATGAAACCAGAAACCCACTGCCAGCAAGCCGGCTCCTGCTCGCAGTGACCTTTGAGGACAGGGTAAGGTAGCCCGGGCTGAACCCATCGAGATGCCAGCACACAGCCACTCTGCAGGGCAGGGATGACCTGCCTCTGTGGGCTTCTGAAACTGTGACTGCAGCTGCCCTTGCCAACCAAGGCATGACCACTAAGCCATCAAGGATCTCGTTAGTCTCCCAAGCTGTAAGTCTTTATGGGAGCTGACAACAGTCTCGTTTCTCCTGCAGAGGGGCTGGTGGGTTTGAAACTCTGATGCCAAAATACCTGCTACTGGTCAGAATGACTTCCAAAAGGAATACCACACGCTGAGCAAAGTCGACAGGAGGCTCTGCTGTAAGAGGAAGGGCGCTGGCATCAACCAGCCAGGCCCAAATCCCACCTGCAACACAAGCTAGCTGTGTGACCTGCGCATTTTTTCTTCCATCTGCAAAACAGAGCTAATGCTACACATTCCACACGGACTGAGGGGTGGGGGGATGGCGGTGATACAGATCAGAACATGCATATTTTGGAGAAATAAAGTGAAGGACACAATGAAACAAATCACTTAAATTTTGAGATTCCCAGTACATATAAAAAGTCTACTTACATTGAGGCCCCGTTGACGCTGTGGGTTTAGGCACTGGGCTGCTAACCACAAAGCTGGCAGTTCAAACCTACCAGCCACTGAGGGAGAGAGATGAGGCTGCCTGCCTTGGGAAAGATTCAGTCTTGGGAATCCTATAGAGGGTCACTATAGGCGGTGGAATCAACTCAATGGCAGTGGGTTTGGGTGTGTGTGTGTTTTGGATAGTCTAATGAGTGTGCGATAACATTAAGAAAAATCTCAAATATTATAGCTACTAAAATATGATACAGAGATGTGAAATGAACACATGCTATTGGAAAAATAAGGGCCAATGGACTTGCTCGATGCTGGGCTGCCACAAACCTTTAAAGTGTAGAACACATGCCATCTGCAACAAAGCACAAGGGCCATGGAACAAAGCGTGCCCGCGGTGCATCCCAGACCAGATGTGAAGACCACATAAACATCCATTAGAGGACAGATTGCATTTAACTGAGACGAATCCAATTCTCAAGGCGCATGGTGGCATAGTGGTTACACTGTGGGCTGCTAATCACAAGGTCAGCAGTTCCAAACCACAACCACTCCTCAGGAGAAAGATGGAAGCTTTCAGCTTCCGTACCGATGAACAGTCTTGGAAACCTCCAGAGGCAGTGCTACGCTGTCCTATAGGGTCACTGTGAGTCAAAATTGACTTGGTATCAGTGAATTTTGGGCTTGAGAAATCCAAATCCCCAAAAACAGGCTACAAAAATATATACTGACATCTCAGAATGAGAATGCCCAAACCAGAAAATAACGTTTTCATGAATTTTATGATTAGACGCAACCAAAGACTCTGGTGTCATTTAGGCAACAGAGACCCATTCTGATGACATACGAAGAGGTCAGAGGGCATGAAAGTGAACCACAGTTGACTCTTTACAGCAGTCTTTGGTAAAATGTTCCTTATCAATAAGACTCACCTACCACCCTCCTAAGGGGCTACCTCAGAAAGACGTGGCAGTCTGCTTCCAAAGAGGTTACGGTCTGGAACACCCCACAAGGCAGTCCCACACTGTCCTTTTGGGTCAGAAGTGACTCAGGGCCAATGGGTTTGGCTTTTTTTTTTTTAAGCATCCTCTTTGAGAGCAGCTTCACCTTTCAAACAGAGCTGGGCCAGCTGGCTGCTTCACACGGTTTAAAACCACCCTTTTATTCTGTGATCGGAGATTTTCGGCTTTGAACCACATGAAGTCAGAGTACTCATTAAACTAGTTATAGTCACTACAGAGGCCAGCGCCTCCCATTCTACCAGCACAGGACTGCTTTACAGGGTGCATCTCCACCGTGGGGGGCGGGGTGGGGCAGGGCGGGCTGCGTACCTTGTAGTAGTCATAGAGCAGGCCCAGCGCCGCGGCACTGTCCTCGTCGCCATTGATGCTCATCATCGCCTTGGTGGCTGCGGTGAGCGGGTTCTCCAGGAAGGACTTCCAGGCCTCGTCCTCGCTGGTGTAGGAACGGCGCTGGGGGTACAGGGCTTCATTCTGCAGCACCAGCACCGGCCGCTTGCTTTAGGGAATCAAACACAGACGACACTGCTTTGAGAGGGAAGGAAAATCCAGGGGCCGGTGAAGGGGAATTATTAGGGGTGGGGTTGGTTCGGAGGTAAACCAGGAAATACAAAGTGGATGAGTAAACAAGCCCCCCTTAATTTAACATCAAGAATGAGAACAACAAAAGCCCAATTATACCTTGAGGCGTTTCTCTGGCGGCTAAGCAGTCAGCCGCTAACCCCACAGTTGCAGCTGGAACCCCCCAGGGGAGAAAAATATCTTGTACGCTTTTTGCGATGAACGATTTTACAGCCCTGGAGACCTGTCAAGGGCAGCTCTACTCCTGCCCGACAGAGTCGTGAGGAATCAGACGCCACCCAACAGCTTTGGGGTTTTTTTAAGGCATTTCCACCATAGGGTATCATCAGCTAATGTTTAAAGATCCAAACAACCGATTCTTTGATACTATATGGGAATAAAATATTCTATTATTTCCTAGTAAGTCAATGATGATTACATCAGATGAGAGCAGGAATCAATGTAGGCCGGGGGTATTCAGGCCGTCAGGGAACCTGTAGGCAACCTATACATGAAACCCAGGAAACATCTGGCCTCCCCCCAAAAACCAAAAACCCAAGAGCAACAAAACTAAGAACGCTAGGCTATCCAAGCACCTCCATAAACACACACACGGGCCGGACAAAGTCAACGAGGACCATTCTCTCCGGGCCTGACAGAGGAGCGTGTAAGGTTCAACCCTCACGTTACTACATGTATTTCCTTCTCTTTGTTGATGGGCATGTCTTAAAACATCTCCTTTCGAAGAAGCGGGGAGGGCAGGCAAAAGTAGGGGGGGAGAGCTATTTCCTTTCATCCTTGGGGGTATATGAGAAAGGCAAAATATTCTGCTGATCACTCACAGATCCAGCATGGAATGTGGCCAAAGGGGACTGCCTGCACTAAATCAATAAAGAGGCACAATTTTCTGGCTAGGGAGTTAACTGGTTTATCTTAGAGATAAACACTTTAGAGCCTACAACAATAAATAAAGCCACAGAACAAACTATTTTTTAAAAATGGGGAAAACTATTTTTTAAAAATCCCTAGTTTCTCAGCACTACTAAGTTAAGAATTGCTCCGTTTTAACATTGTAGTTTGGCAGGGCGGGGGAGGAGGGAGAGGACGGATGACCAACTTTACTTAGTAAAGCCCTTATATAAGATTTGATTTAAAGGTTAAAGCAAACATCCCTAACTCCAAAAACTTGAACTGTACGTGGTCTCAGCACCTGCTCAGGTGGTACTGCTACATAAAGTCGGTCGGCAGCAAAGTAGAAGGCAGACTCTAGCAATCGAAGCTGCTTTCTTTCACAAGGGAAGAACTCGAAGCTTGAGACCTTAAGAGCTGCTCTAAAAGATCACTAGTCTCACTAGCAAGTTTAAAGACCAGTTCTCATTGCGTCACACAAATGGAGTGTGTAAATGGCCTAAAGGTGACCTGCCTACTCTAAAAGTGAATGTGGAAAGATGGATTATCTTCCCCAGTGATCAGAGGGTTGGGGCTTGGCAGTCACTCAGCCCCTTACAAACAGACGCAGATTTAGGAAAAGAACATCTTTGAAAGAAAGAAAAAAAAAAGAGGGTGGGGATGGGAGGTGAAGTGGAGAATCCAAGGACTTCATGCTCCCGAATGACTATTTTAAACCCAGTTTCTACAGATGCCCCAGCCCTGGAAGCTCACATTAGATGGGGAAAGAAGCCAGGAGGAAGGGCACTATTCTAACAAAAGCCAACAAAACGGATGGCTCGGAGCCAAGAGTTTGTTTTTAAAACGGACAAGGCTGTTCATACTATCTTCAAATTAAAAAAAAATTTTTTTTAAGGAGGCATCTAATAAGGGGGCGTCCGTGATGAGAGCTTAGTAGTTAGTACAGCAGTGGTACCAAGGGGTGGCCCAGCAGTGTCCTGCTAAGCTGTCATTAACAGTGTCATCACCACTTCCAAGAGATTGTGACAGCACTTGGCTCCTTCACTTCTGGTAGCGCTAGTTTTTCAGCTTCCCCTCTCTCTCTCTCCCAACCAAAATGTGTACAAGAGACAGAAAATAAATATGTTTATGTGTGTGGAGAGTTTTATATCTACAATCATCCTGAAAGTGTTTTGCATTTCCAAACTGTGCCTAAGGCCAAGATCTTACCTTTGGAAATTGTGTACTATTTAAATGAGAAGCGGAGAAATAAACACGAAAGTCAGTTGTTGCCTTTCGTATTTCCTCTTATGGCCGTCAGGGTGTTCGTTCCCAAGGCTCATCACTGCTTTCGGGTAGAGAGCTTAAGTCTTAAAGACAACCGTCTCTCGGGCACGTTTGAAATCTACTGCAAATGATCATTTCACTTCGCCTTCTTCCCCACGAAAATCATCCACTAAGAATATTCCACACCTAATGCCTAATCTTCCTATCTACCAAAAGAATACAATTAAAATAAAATGAATCTCTGGTGTAATACTTATATACAACTTGCTTAATCCAAATTAATTTTTAAAAATAATTTTGGGTGGTGGTGTAATAATTTTGGACACGTCGAGAAGAGCCCCTTAGAAAACAGACGATTGCCTGCCCACTTGCTGGGAACACGGACATCACCCGCGGTCCATTGCATTCGCATCGCTCACAATCCTGCACTCCCAAGCAATCCCAACAGGACTTCTGAAAGGACACTACTCTCTAGTTTACTGCCCCGACGTGGAAGCTTCATCCTCTGGAGATGTCAGCGCATTAAAAGCTCGGTAATCTGTAATTACCATCAGTGATGCAAGCGGCAAAATCACTCCCACAGCGCTTTTCTCACTCGCCCCGGCAGCGAAAAGAAAGTGCGGGCGCGGGCGCCCCTCAACCTTGCCCCGAATTCCCCCTTTCGGAAGTCAGAGGGGCCCGTCGAGTGCCCACGCTGCTGGCCGAGCCCGGCCTCCCCGGCGCCAGCCTCCTTTGCAGCGGGCGCGAGGGTGCCCAGGAAACGCGCGCTTCCACGGGCAGGAGGCTGG